CAACAAATTCTGGGAACAAGAAGTGGGAGAAATGGACCTTTGGCAATCACAATCATATAAAAATTAAAGTAATTCATAGACTTCTGCAACCAATTATATTGCCTAGGTGTCCCTTAGCAGCTAACTCAAAAGACATTTTTACGAGATACCTATTTGTGTATTCTTGTTTCAGAGATAAGTTATGCTGGTCTAGTCAATCAGTTCTTTTGAACTTCTCAGTTTTCCTGAATGTACATCATATCAAAAAGTAACACCAGGAAGAACTGAATTATTCCTGGTTTTGTATTAAGTTGGGGGTTTCTTGCACTGTTGCGAAGCTGAATAAATAACTGCAGATTAGTTTATAATTGATCTGGTTCCCTGTAAGTGTTGAACATTTTATCTGAGCTTGATTTTCCATAGTTGCTAAAGTAATTTTAATTTACATAATGATGAGACTCATTCTTAAGGCTTGCAAGTTTCAACATTTTATAAAATTGCAAAGAGACAGAAATGAGTGACTGTCCTGTAAACTGAAATATAAGAAGTTACAAAGTATGTTTGCTCATAACTCACAAGCTCTTTTGTCAGTATTTTTCATTATTGTTCTAGTTATATTAAGAAACCGGAAAAGGTTACTTGTCAGAGAAAAAAATATGCTAAATTGTTTCTTTTTTTAATGGATCGAGTAGTAACTTTGTATATCAACATCAGGTAAATAAAGTCTTATTTTAAGTTCTTCATTAAAATGCCTGTGCATATTACAATTCAATAAAGAAAATAAATGATACATCAAATCTTTCCCGTGCTTCACGCATAAATAAAGAAACAACCGAACCAGATGTTAGCAAAAATTATGTAGCTGACAAAATTATCCATCTAGACTTTCATTTCGACTCTGATGCTCTATTCTTTGACTTCTACTAGTTCTCTGTTTTCCAGCAGGAGTTGGCACCTTTGCCAACAAGGTAATAATCCATATCAGAGTGATCCAACTGAGAGTTCACCCCCTTGTCAACACTTTCATGTTATCATTGTGCACAGTTTTCGCCAACTATTAATCCAAAACCGACACTTTGTTGTTCTATTTCACATAGAGTAAAAAAAATCACTGAACAATCTCATTTACATCGCTATAATTCTCTCATCCTCAAGTATCATTTCAAAAATAATGCCACAATTATTCTGAAAATAGAGAGATGCCTTAAGTAAGATATAGGGCCACCTTCATCATTATTATACTCTTCATATTGCTTTCAATATTAACCTGCTACATGTTATCAGCAATTAAATTAAAACATCCTGATGAGATAAAAGTCTATAAGAAAATGTTGTCTCCACCTATACTGCTATTTCTTTCTTCGATAAGATTTCTTTGGTCATATCCAATCTTATTGAACTCATTTCTTAAAGGTGAGCTTCCAGATCTGGATCCATCACATCAAATTGGCATTTAGTGGAATCCATATCAATGGCTAACATAAAATCTTGCTGGGTTGGAACAGCTTTTAACATGTGTTTGGAGATGTGTTTCATCTTCCCCTCTTTCAAAGAGCTGATTTAATGAAATTAAAGAAAACAGAGGCTTTCTGTATATTCTGATGAGTGTCAGGAATTTTTGAACGTTAGATAATTGCTATAAAATTGTATAGAATATATATACACACACATTTACTGGTTTTGTAAACGGTGAAACGAAGGGTACAAATACACTTTACATAATATATGCCAACGTGCATAATGTATGCCAATGTCCATTATGGATTAGCATATCTGGAAAATGTCATTTAACCATGAGGTGCAACAGAACTGTCCATCTGTTTAGTTAGAAGCCAGCATAGTTGTGAAACTTTAGATAACATAGAAAAACCTCATACCTGTGCTGCCCTACAGAACCAGGACAGCGCTATTCCCTCAAAAAATTAACTGTCATTAAATCTTCCCAGAAATAAGAACCTAGGAGCAAGGAACTGAGATCAGTCTTTGGGCTGTGAGAAGGGCTATGAATTAATAAAGATTAGGGAAGTTAATTATAGACACTGAGCCCTTATGGTTGGTTCATGTGATAAACTGAAACAATTGAAAAGGATAGGTTACAAAGGACCATTACAAACATAGAGACAGAACAGGACTTATTAGTGTATTTCCTCAACGAGAAGATACTCTGGCTGTGTACTCCACATGCTCTCAACACAGTCAATTTCAGTTGTTTAGAAATTTTTGGATTTCAGGCAAATATCAGTAACTGATAATTTGTGAATGTTTGATGCTTTTACTAGATCATGGAAAATTAAACGTGTTTATATTTCCTATTGAGTATTTGAAATAGACTAAAAAAGTTGGTTTATTACAGTAAAAAAAAACAATCCTCACACTTCTTTGGAATAATTAATGTGTCTTAAATTTGTTTTGATGAAAAAAATATCTTCAGAGCAATATGCAAGAAAACAGATAAAAAATGCATATAGAGTAAAAATATGCATTTAATACAGTTGAAAATTACGTTTTAAAAAGGCCACATAATAAACATTAAGCTTTAATTATTTGATCTCTGGAACTTTGCCGACTTCTGAACAACAAACTATGTCATTTTAGCTAGACAGTATTTAGATTGTCTCTCTTTCTTAAGAAATTGTAATAATTTTCTGTTTCAAATTATATCTTCTGGATGGGATGAAACTAAATTCTTTTAACATAAAAGACATGCTTGAAGATTTTTCACTGCCCAAGAATTTATACTTGTCCAAATAATTTAAATACTGAAGCACAGTAGTAGCTGTTTAAATCTGATCTGCCAGTAATTATCACCATTTATCTTTGGATATAAAAGCTGCTTACTACACATCACACATACACTTTGATGAATCACTCTTTCAGAAAAGAAACCACGAAAAACAGCTTGCCAGGCTGTTATCTTAGAGGTTTACATTTTTATTTATGTTATTACTGGTAGACTGCAGAAAGCTCAGAGAGTACCATTAAATTTGATTCCTAACAGGCATCGAATTCATCTAGCAATAATGACAATATAATGTCATTGAAAATCATGAAAAGCACCAGAGTTATAAATGATCTTACTGCCTATGGTGTAAAGCATTTCATTACCAGACTTCTTGCTTGAAAAGATGCAATGTCCCAAATCAATGTCTTGCAGTACGTGCAGAAGCCAGTGTTAATAAATATGAAATATTATTCCAATGAATAAAACAAGTACTACACATCATGAATCTGCAAGTCTTTCAAAATGCTGCCTCAACTTGCTCAATGCATGTTATTCTTGTCAATTCAGATGCCACCATGTTGGAAAGAAATAGCCCAAGTGTGTTTAAGGCAGTCTACTCATATATGACAAGTCAATAAAGAGCTAAGCCTGATACTTTAAAAGGTACCCTGTATTTTGATACACAGCGGTTCTCACAAGGCTGAATAAAGTTATATAATAGTATTTATAGTTCTCCAAAGAGGCAAGAATGTACGTTGAGAACTTCACATATTTTAGTTTACTAGACTGATCACTATCACTTTGTAACATGCGAATATAGGATGATAATATGCCCAGATAGCAAGTTACCTTTGACATCATAATACGAGCAAATATAACGTTTAATTGAATAATTGCAAATATTAACTAATCCATAAGTATATGCTGTGCAAGCTTTTGTTAGCAGTTCAACTTCAGATCTCCTCCTGTTTTAAAGGCATTCAAAAAAAATCTGTTTAAAGATCTGGACACTGCTGGCCAGTGTGAGATCACACTGGTCAGTGTGCGGAGTGGGGGCACATTTGCATGAAAATCATCTTCATAGGAAGGATGTAATGCATCTTGATCTACATTTTACAACTTCTCAATTTTTCACAGCCTTTTGGCAGGAGAGTTTCTGTAACATGGTATTCCTGCGAAGCCTCTATTAGGCCAGACTCTAAATGGCAGAATTGAGACACAAAAGCCAAGTTTGCCTGCCTCCCAAACTGATTGCCTAACAGATTGCAATCGTACCAACCTCTGTAGACTCATCTTTTATCATAGAAACATAGAATGGTTTGGGTTGGAACGGACCTTAAAGATCATCTAGTTCCAACTCCCCCGGCTGTGGGCAGGAACACCTTCCACTAGATTGGGTTGCTCAAAGTCTTATGCACCCTGGCCTTGAACACTTTCAGGGATGGGGCAATGCATTACACTCTTAATAAAATGGGAGCATGGGTGAAAGGGGTAGCACGAGCTTCCTCTCATGTACAGCTACGTTAAATGCACATTAGGCTGTCTCATGTCATGTGTCATAATTTTTCAATAACATTTTCCCTAAAAAATGACTTTGAACCCCAACAGAAGTGTAGGTTAAGTTTCAAAGGTGCAATAATTGATGAAGGTAAAATGTAAGTTGTAGTGAGTACAACTGTTAACACACATCTATTAACAGAAATACTGGGCATACAGCAGTAACAAGCATTCTTTTCTTGCTACTTACATGTTGCACCATCCTGTTTCAGAGAGAGGTATAATATGAAAGGCTGGCGTTTCACTGAAGAAATTGATTTTCTCTGTGCCCTCTGCTGATTAACAGTAAGTGGAAGCTATCTTTTTACAAAGCTTTATTGCTTCTTTCAAACAAGGCCTCCTTCTTCAATCCATTTTGCTGCAGATATTGGCCTGCTGGTGGGAATGCATCTTACAAACAGGGACAACCTGCAGATAAGTATTTCCCTGCAATGCTTACACAGCCGTATTTTTGCTAACTTTAGACTCTGTGGAGGCTATTCTCTTTTAAAGTAGAGACGGTATGTGTGCAAGCCTCACATCAAAGACAGATATAGAAAGAAAAGATCAGGTTCAAAGGCGTCTGTAACGGCAGACATACTGGTATACAAATGCCCCATATGTGCAACACGGTAGAAATATGGACTGAGAGAAGGATTTGTCTAGACCTCACCTGTTGTCATGGGAGAGCTATATTTGGTGAAGCATCTACCTCATTTGCAATGTTCCTAAATAGCAGGATATCCAAGCTATTTGTTCTTACCATCAGTGACTTGAATTTCTTCTTGGATGTTGGCTGGCTTATTTGTATTGACCATGGTAGAATTTCTTCCAGCAGGCATAGCATTTGCTTCAGGAACCACACCTGTCAGCTGCACTTCTACTCTTCTTTCTACTCTCTGCCTGGCTCGACAGCGTACCACAGCTACAGAAAAGCAAGAACCCCTTATTTGTAAAGCATCAGCATCTTGACTTTAACAAACCAAATAAAAATAAACGTTAAATGTGCTTAAAGAGTGACAGAATTCCAATAAGGACCAAGAGAACTAAAAGCTTTTTCCCATTCCACGGTTTCTGTTGTTCTGTTTAGGCAAAGTAGTAGAAAATACTGCTAAGCAAAAGAAAATCTGTTCCTACAGTTAGTTCACAAAAGCACTTGCAAATTTCTCCCTTTTTTGCAATCATGAAATGCATCTTCATTTCAGTTCATTTGCAAAGAGAAATTATGGTATAGTTTTACATATGCCAACGAGAAAGGAAGATTGAAAGGAAAATAAAGAAATGAAAATTTAAAAGTTAAATGAAAGAATATTAAGCTACTCCTTGGTTTCTTAAGAATACTGTTGTTCAAACTTCAGCTTTTACAGACCTATGCCAAAATAAAAAGCATTCTGACACAAGCTTCTCTTTGAAGCATGACAGAGCTTTTTTCAAATTAGTAAGTGATTTTATTTTACTGTTTCTAAAATGTCTTTTTTCATTACAAGGTAGTTGGGTTTTAGCTTATACATTAGACTTTACAAAGCTTACTTCCACAGTTATTGTTTATGGTTCTTTCAACAATTATTGGCACAGAAAGAGGAGAAAAATCATATGGAAGAACTGAAAGAAAAATATGTTTCCCAAAGAAAATAGTTAGAACTTTCTACAGTTATAGAAATCATCATGAAAAAGAAGAGCTGATTACATACTTCTCAGTTTCAAGGTCTAAATACTATCTTCATCAAAATTATACCCAATGGTTCTTTAAAAATTAACTCTGAACTTAACATCAAGATTTAATGATAACTAATTTAGAAACATATCTTGGTAAGTAATTCTGTAAAGTGTTTAAAAAAAAGAGCAATGAAACTCTGACTTCTATATCATGTTCATGTATCTTCAACTTTCAGTTCTGGAGCTTGATTCACTACCATTATTTTGGAAAATAGATAATTGTACATCAAGTTTGAGTAATTTCACTTCTTTAATTTTTTTTCCCCCCATTGGTCTTTTCCTGTTCAATAGTGTTTCAGTAATTTCTATAGATCTCTTCTAAGCATTTCCATGAGAGTTACTGAAATAGTTAAAACCACATTTTTTTTGAGATGCATAGCCTTATATTTAAGAATAAATTACATTGTTTATATTACATCCGTTTACCGAGCATTTCAGATTCCTGTGTGCATATGTTGTGTCCGCATCACTTTCCATTCTGCAGCTAATCTTACTACCAGAGAAGATCTTACATTTTCTTTTTCCTAAATGACTAAGTAACATTTATGGATAAAAATCAGTTGCCTATGGGATTTGACTGGACAAGTCCCTGAGCAACCTGATCTAATTAGACCTGGCTTTAAGCAGGAGGTTGAATCATATGACCTCCAGTGGTCCCTTCTAAATTATTATATGCTGCTTTGACCCTACAATAATTAAAAAATTCTGGATGATTCTCCATTTGCAATCATTTTTATAAGATAGCCAAGTTGTCATCTACTTAACATGTATTACACGGGTTGTGACCACTGATCATTTTAATTGGTCTCATGAGATACTAAGCCAAGCGATTTCTAGAAGTTTAAGTATATTAAGATGCAAATAAGAATGACACAAAAGATGAACTGCCTAATATACTAGCAAAGCAGCTTTGGTTTTTGACATAACAGCTTGTAGCCTCCAGGCAATTTTAATAAATGTCTGCATTAAAAGAAATGATAATATTATTTCTATCATTATTAAAAACAATTATTTTAAAAACAGAGTAGGTTTCTTGCTAATTACCTGATTTGGATTCTTATCTTACAACAGGGATTTTTAAAAAGTACATTTACAACTGAAACCCACAGACTTTCAAAATCAAGGCAGAAATGGAATCGGTTCCATAAACACACTTAAAAACAGGTATTTTAGTTTTTCAGGTCATATTTCAATGAAAGATCTAATACTTTCTTAGGAAAAAAAAAATAGCCCAATATAACATGGTGAAGGCCAAAAAGAGACATGTATTTAAAATTAATGCAATGCTCCTTGTATGTATTAGAAACATTTACTGAACATAAACTAGTGGATAACTCACTTAGGTATAAATTTTCTACAGTTTAGTTTTCAAAGAAGTATTTAAAATTTAAAATTACTTAAGATTTGACATTACTTAAGTTTCTGATCATATGCATAAGTGATGTCACTTAAGCAATTTATGAATGCTAGTGGTTTCAATTCATGACTTCTATACCTAATGAAAACAACTGCCCAATAAAATGGAGATTTATCTCAAGGTCTGCCAGTGAATTACATAACAGCTTTAAATAACACAACAAACATTCACATTAATATACATAGTTTTAATGCTAATGAGACTCGTTTAAACTGTCATTTTGGGCAACAGTTGATTGCATGATAATATTCTGCTTCATTCCTTAAGGTATTAAAGTGGAAATTAAGGAGATGAAAGCTCTAATTAATACCACATCATTGGTATTTGTCTGAAAGTAAAGGGTCCTTAAGAAAATTAAATTAATGACAGTAAAAATATCTATTTCTGTGGTTTTCCAGAAGTTATTCCTGTACCTTAGTCTATTTAGTGTGGAAAGATATATTCACTCAACAAAAGACAAGATTAAAAGACAAGTTGGTGTAAAATTGTCCCTCATCTACACCTTGAGCTGCCGTTCATGAAGGTTATAGATTTAAAAAGCTGTTCACAATTTCTGTTTCATAATTCTAGGATTATATCACACCTTTAAAAAACAGGTGCTTCAAATCTATAAGTATTTACTATACAAAAATAAGCAACAACAAAAATCAGTCATCTTTTAATGCAAGTTTACTTCTCAGGACCAGGTGGAAAACTAAATGCTATTCACACTACTCTATATTCTATTTTTGTTTAAAGAGTGAAATTTGAGGCTAGAGAGAAACAGCAGACATCTGCTCTAAGATTTTGTGCCCTGTAAACTCTCCAGAATGGTTTTCTGGGTGCACAAGCAGAAATTTATCCTTGCGTCTTTCGTTTTGATTTACCTTCATTTCTCTAACTCAGCATTAAGTGGGACACTGAAGGGCACTGAGATTTTCAACTGCTCCTGGCCTGTTTTATGCACGACACGAACTAAATAATAGATCTAGATTTGCTTTGTAGGTTGGGAAAGGAGATTTTATTTTTAATACGTGATTTTTACCTTTTTTGAAGATTTAGCAAAGTACTACGCCAAATTCTCATGATCAAGCAGTTGAGAACACTATCGACTATTTGAATTTTTAAAATTTATTCTTCGAGTTTTTTTCAATAATTACTTACCTGGAACTAATTTCTGCTGTGGTGCTTCAGGTATTCCACGAAGCGGATAAATCCAGAGTATTCCCTGAATTCCTCCATTCTCTGCTAGAGTAACACTGCTTGTAAAAGTTAAGAGTATCATTGCGATAGACTGCTGAGAATTATTTTTTCTCAAAGTAATCTAGACTCAAGAGTTGTTGGAGAGGTACAACTCTATTTTATCATATATTGTAATTCTAAACATATCTAAGAAAAATATGAAATAAAATCCAACCGAATCAGAACAGCAATAATTTATATCCACTTAGTTTAGTGTCTTCAAATACTGTTCTGTCAGGACATGAGAACGTTTGGCCTGATCTGGTCTCTCTTATGTCATGTCTACACTGAAAGAAAGTTTACGGAGTTTATGCATTACATAAACATATCCACAGGAGAATCATTATTAGCACAAATATAATGAAAAATTAGAGGCATCTAAGTGGTTTCGTTTGCTCAATATTCGTAAGTACCCTGGCAGCTAGTACTTTACATTTTCTTTATTTAAAGTTAGAAAAGGTAGGTATTGAAACAGATAAAAGCCCTACCCTAAATCTTCATACTTTGCAGGGTACATTAAAAGCCTATGTTGGATACCTATTGCTGTCAAAATCAGACTCTTGATTGCCCTTGGGAGCTACACACAAATATCCAAAGGGGAAAATGATGATAGGATTGAGTATCCTCAATCACTTTTTCTCTTCCTATTAAAATAAATTACCTCTTTAAGTCTTTATTTAATTCAGCAGAATCCTCATAAGACCAGTTTTCTCCATTTTCCCTCATTACATGAATTACCACCACAGCCTCATACATTTTCATTGTATCTGGCATGAATAACATTGGGATATCCAGTTTCTCTTTCGGAGCTAATCGGGTTCCTGTAAGATAGAACAGATCATTACAGTATTTTGAAAAAATTATAAATGATTTATATCATTTTACTCATATATTTCCTTTTTTCTTTTTGATACACTGTTTAACATTTTATCATAGTGTACCGTTCTCCCTGTGATAACAAATTTCATTTTACCCTGCTACAATCAAATCTCATCTTATAGTAGCATTTGTGGCCTGGTTTCCTGTAATAAGGTGCTTTTGATTCAATGTCCTGAATAGAGGAGTTCATATAAAATGGTATTTTAGACGTCTACTTATTGATAAAACTGATGTTGTCTTTAATGAAGGTGGTCTGATATATTGCATTCTTAGGGGCGTTTTTCCAATGACTTGCCAGTCTGCCAACTGTCAGAACATCTACCTCAGGATGTGTTCAGCCACTTCAGAAATAAAGTTATAGAAAAATTACACAAAGTAGAATAAGTAAATTATACAGTCTTTTCATTATCAAGGTCCTTGCTTTGAAAAGAATTCTTGAAATTTGGTGGAATTGACATCTCTGGGTTAGGGTTTCAGCTTTAATTCTGCCTGTAGAAAAACCTCTTAGTTATGAGAAATTGCTTCTACATTGAGCTTTGAATCTATTTTTGTGATAATTTTTCATGCCTGCTACAATGCATACATGCTAATAGAGGTCTACGAGTGTTGGTCCCTGAGAATGACTCAAGTTAGTATGCATGAGACAAACAATCTCCCTGTGATTGCTTCTGCTGATAACCCCAGGCTGCTGTTTGCTCCAAAAATGTCAGCAGGGAAATTTTATCTTATGCTCCAAAAGACACCTTCCTACAGACTAAGTGACTTGAGGGTGAAGAACTCAGTACTGAGAGCTGTAGCAAAGTGGGTGATAAGAAAATTGTAATGCAGTCTTGGGAAGGACAAAATAAAAAAAGAAGTGGATGCATGGAATTTTGGAAATGAAGGTGGACATGTAGGGAGACAGACTAAAATGATGACAGACAGGAATAACCAGAAGCAAAAAAAAAGGATGAGTAAGCCACAGTAAGGTGGGAGAGAAGGGTTTGAAAGATAGCTGTCCAAAACGCAGAAAAAAGTCAGGACTCCTCATCTGCATCAATCCTCTGCTAGCATTTAATTATGAAGTCTACTGGACATTAAAATTTCTATTGCTGCCTCACTATCTGTTGTTGCTATCATTTATTCCTGCAACACAAACAGCAACCTTGAACAAAGACATCCAAAGTAGCTTGGATAGACTAGCATCATATTCAAAGTAATAAATTGCCCTGTCCAGGCTGATTACCTTTATGAAGAATTATCTTGTACTGTTATTCAGATACTTCCTACAGTATGTAATCCCACTGGAGTCAGTATGATTCTGTAGCTATAAAGCTTTTAACTAGAAACACTCTTAAATTAAACTAACTAAATTAGGATTGGAAAATTAATCTTAAATTAGGAAGGCTGGGATTAGTCACAGACAAACCACTCTGCCTGCAGGATTTCTGTCTCTTTCCATAGCAATGCCTCAAGACCTCAGATATAGACCACTGCCTCACGTTACTATGCATTCTACAAACAGTACAGGATTCTTACCTAAATGTATCTGGATTTCTGTATGTATAAGTTTTATCATGTAGTAGTTATGGAAATTAACCAGCTGCTTTACACTCATACTTGCTTAATTTTTGTGTATCTGTAGAAGTTCATCATGGCATGAGCAATTTGTCTTTGGAGTAATTACTTGAAAAGTCTTGCATCTTGAAATAGCTTAAAAATATCTGCATTAAAAATGCTAATATCTAGATGAAAAAATAAACCATTTTTCTTCTCTTTTTTCTTTTAATAAAGATTTAAGATTTTTTTTTGTTAGATCTTAATCTCCCTAGTTGAAGCATTATCTACCAAGTACATACCCAAGATTTAAAAGATATACAATATATATGTATACATATTGTTGGCAATAATATGTTCAAAGGGTTTTTTGAAAACCTTTAAAAATTAGCAACTAATATTTCATCTAGTATCTGAAATAACTAAGTTGACCACAAGCATTGTTGTCATGCTTCTGGAAACATCTCAACTGGGATTCACACCTCTAGAACAGAAGTCAACTACAGCACTGATGCACTATTCTCCTTCTGTGAGAGAAGAGGCAGCTCTCTACTGTGATTTGCTCACTTCGGGCCTCTTCTGGCATAGTGAAGGCAGAAGGCTGTAATATCTATAAATTAGAATTTTATTCTTCAGGATATAATTAGAATTAGATTGCTTTGAATCCAAATACATGCATACCAAAATAATGTAAACAAGAACAGTACGTAAACACTTTGCAACACCATTATGGCACATTCAAACACAACATACAGACATTTTAATTAAGTTTGTGAGCAATGTGACCACCAAAGGGGCAAAGACATATAAAGTTGCATGTAGGAGGTATCCAGGTAACAGAAGTTGCAAGATGAGGTACAAAGTGAG